CCTTTCCATCGCATTTCCTGTAAGGCAATAATATCGGCTTGGTACTTCTTGAGTACATCCGCCAAAGCGAGCACTGTGCCTGTTCTGTACAACGTGCGCACATTCCAAGTGCAGATTCACAGATCGTGGTCCTTTATACGTTTGCGGGGATCGTCAACGTTAGGGGGGTTTGGTTTTCTTTTTCTTTGCTTTTTCATAGTAGGTTGGGTTTTCCGAGAGTGGGCAACTAACCCGACGCCTCAACACATTTTTTATAGTTCTTAAGGGTAAACTCGCAGGACATCTTAGCTCACTATTTCATCGGGTGATGAAAATAGCTCCCCAGGTGGTACCGCGGTGAGCTCAGTGTCCACAATTGAGATGAAAGAGGGACCAGGATAAGCCTGGACTTCGCCATGCTAAAGCCAATCAGAGCCGTTGCTTGGTATCTATCATCCCCTACGCCACCCATTTTTAATCATTTATATTTATTAATATGTTTAAGTTCCCTGCCTACAAAACCTATAAATTGCAACATTCTTAGTTAAATCTTGAGAACAATGTGCAAGAAAAATGTGCAATGTTTAGAAAAAATATTTTTTTTAATTAGTTGAAAATTTGCCAATTGCCATGCGTGATATTTTATGGAATTTAATTTTCATTTTATTTGAAATTGATATGTCAGTAGTCACACGAGCAAAATTTCATGACAAATTTTCTTCTCAATTTCTTTAAAAATTTCATTGTTGTTTGGACACGCAAATAACCCTTGCATCAAATTTATGAATTTTCTTATTCTTCCCCACACTTATTTTCTCGTTTGACCTTTGTTCATGAAAATTAAAAATGGAATTAAAAGAAAAATACTTAATTATAAAAGGAACTCTTGAATTACTCGAAGAAGCTATCGACGTGGATTGCTCTGAATACATATTATGTGTTTTTTTCTCGCAAAAGGTTTTAATTTTATTAACTGCCTTGGCGTTTGTTTGCCGACAGAAAACATACAATGAATGAAAATGCAAAACTTTTCTGCAGCCAACTTCAGTTTTTTAAACGAATAAGGAAACAAATTGCGGAGTACAAGTATGTCTGTACGCCCTTTTTTCTCTCAACTCCTTCGCCTATAAACTCAATTTACTTTACCACAAAATTTGAATTATATTAAGAAGTTTTGTCATTATCAATTTCTCAAATGAGACTACATTGTATAGTTATGCCATGCATATATTCATATTTTCAGGATTAATATATGCAATCTCAAAAACTTCTCCTCTGGTCTAAACGAGTAGGTGTGCCCTCAAATCAAATTTTTCCAAAAGTGTTATTAACAAAAAATATTTTATTAAATGTAATAATTAGTTTATGTTCATAAACATCTGTAATCTGTTTAAAATTAATGGAGGCTCCTAGGAGAGAACTCATGTTATGATAAGATCCATGGCACAATTATACATGTTAAATGTAGTACTCAGCTGATTTAATTGTATCGTAATACTCGTGTCAAGTTCGATATGACATGTTTGATTTATGTAGAACGTTCTATCAGGAAAATTGTGTACACATTATATTTGAAATACGATAATACAATTTATAGGGAACCAGCAAATATATAATACTATTTGGTGATTTTTTTGACATTACCTTTGCTATATAAATTTTTTTCTGAGCCAGTTTTACATCCATTAATTGGCATGAGAATTTCATTTATATTAATTTCAAAAAGTACATATCGGCGTTAACAATTACACATTCTCAAATCAAAGAAATCGCAATAGATGTTCGTTGCTCTTTGATTTACAATTTACTTTAACTTCCTAATTGGGAAATTTGAAGCAAATCCCTAGCAAATCCCTTTGCTATTTTCTAAGCTATTTTTATCGTTTTTGTATGAATTACCTCTACATATGGCAATGACTCAAGGAAAGATCTGAAAGCGACAGAATTAGTAATTTTCTAAGACTTGCATTCATGTTTTTCAATGTTATTCTGAAAATTCAAAAATATTTCATATTGAAAATAAATCAAATTTATTGTTATTTCCTATGCTTTGTTAACATTTTTCGATATGCCTTTGACAGTATTCAGCTTTCAAGTTTTAAATGAAAATATCTTCCTTCGAAATGTACCCATATAATGTGTTCAATTGCAAAAATTGATAAATATAAATAATTTGAAATTCCCTCTATATAAAACTTATAAATATATGATGTAACAACCATGGTTAAATGTTGAAAGCAATGTTAAGCGTTAAAAAATGTATTTTGTTTAATTTATTGAAAATATGCCACTCAACATACATAAAATTTTATGGATTTTTTTCCATATAATTTAAAATTGATATATGAGTTCCAATTCTAAAAAGGTTGCTATCATAAAATTCTCAAATGGGACTACCTCTGTAATTATGCCATGGATGCAATAATATTTCAATATTTAAATGAAAATATCCTCCTTCGAAATGTACGCACAACACGTGTTCAGTGTCAATAATTACAAAATGTATATTATCTTGAAGTTTCCAGCTCTATAATCTATAAATATAATTTGTAACACCTATAGTTATAACTTAATACGGCGTTTACATTTAACCGGATTTCGTTAACCCAGAGGGTTTAAATTATCAATTCCATTGTATTTATGTCAAATAAATCTTTATAGAGTAGGTTAACCCGGTAAAAATTTATAATGTAAACGCCGTATAAGAGTAATATTAATAAAAAATGGAGATATTTATTTACAAAAAGTATACATTTTTAATTTTTTTTTAAAGTATGCCATTTGACATACATAAAATGTTATGGAATTTATTCTTCAAACAATTTGAAATTGATAGATGAGTTCCAAATTAAAATGGGGTTGTCATTATTAATTTCTCAAATGAGGCTACCTTGTGTAATTATGCCATGAACAGAAAGAAGTATATTCTATGTATATTGTATGTAATGAATAGGTAGTCCATTTAGCGCAGCTGATGTCTTGATTAACTGTCAAAGTGGGTAATTTCTACTTGAATTCGATGTGCAGTGTTGCCAACCATTTGAAATATTATATGGACAAATTTGACAGATAATCGAGACAAAACAAAGGTTTTTGTTTTGATACATCACCATGGTACAATTATAAAAGGTAACAGCAAATCCCAGCTGATTTGATTCCAACGTAATACTAGTGTCAATATGAATTTGACAAATTATGTTTTTAAAAATCGCCCAACAGGAAAATTGGGAACGCATACAATTTGAAATTGTTCTTTATTAATGTGCTCCCATATTCAATTTGCTCAATCTGCCTGCTGGGAAAGTTTGAGGAAGCAAATCTTTCTTGAAGGAATTACTCGCTATTCCCAGCATTGTCATATGTGTTACACATATATATGGCAATGGCTCAATTAAAGGAAAGATGTGGAAGCGATAGAAATATAAATTTGATAGATTTTCATTCATGTTTTTCAATTTTTATTTTGAGGATTCGAAAATATTCCATTTTCAAAATAAAAATAATTTGATGATAATTTGTTTGTTTGTTTACATTTTTCTGTCAAATGACGTTGACACTAGTAGAACTTACAACAACAAATTTCCATGTGGTTGTTGTATCGTTTTTTGTACAACAACTGTTACCTTTTATTATTATACCATGATACATCACCTTATTATTGCATCATGGTTACAACGGTAGGCCCGTACCTAAATTAAGTGAGTTGCCTACTAAAATACCCACCTTCGCACCTTTAGGGTCGTACTTAATAATTGCGCTCCGTAAAAAAATCTCACCTTCTCACCTTTATAGGGTTTTTTAGACGTCCGTATTACCTAAATACCGAAGGACATTATTTGGTTCTGAGCCAATTGAAAACGGCGAAAATGGATGAAAACATTTTTTAATTGATGGAAAATGTTTACTTTTTTAGAAACACAAATTTTTTCAATGACTTAAATTCTATTTTAAAAAACCCCAAAATACGCATTGTCAATGTTCAAAAATTTCAATTTTATATATTGATACGCAATGCGTATTTGGGTAACATTCAGTGAAATACATGTATTTAACTTTTGTGGTGAATAAAATCGTACGCATACGCATGAATTTAGGAACGACACTTACAGCCTGTTTTTGTAAAATTCAAAACGAAACAATTACTACCAAACCTTTATTTATGTAAAAAACTGTTTCTTGATTCAAAACAAAAATAAATGACATATTTTTCAAAACCAAGGAGTTTGGTCGTAAGTCACTCGAATTCGTTCGTTTAGAATTTTACAAAAACAGGCTGTTACAGGGTTTGTTGTTGTTTGGTTATCCGTATTACCCAAGTACGCAAGGACTTTATTTACTTGTGTGTCAATTGAAAACAGCGAATATGGATGAAAACATATTTTTTTTATTAACCGAAAAAAGTTTACATTTATAGAAAAACAAATTTTTCAATAACTGGAATTCTATTGTCAATGTTGAAATTGTACAACTTCATATTTGTATACGCAATGTGTATTTGGGCAACATGCATTGAAATACATGTATTCAATTTTTGGGGTGAATAAAATTGTACGCATATGCATAAATTGAGGTACGACCCTTGATTTGAAAAGTATAAATGTTTCCAAATATTTCGATATCTGATGGCCACTTTAACATTTTCAATGCTTCGAATGACAACAACGACATCTACACACAAATAAGAACGTCATAATGTATGATGTATGCCAACTACTATTATCCGATTACTTGTTGATGTTAACACATTATTCGGTAGCAAACAAATTATCTTAGTTGATTGCAGCCAACTTCAGTATCTTCCCTTTTACATCGTGTTTTTTGGAAGAGCAAGGTGGGTTTTTATGTGCGCTTTTGTTTTCTTTTTCTATTTTACTTGTAGATGTTAATATGGTACCAATATAATCCATCATTAGACCCTTTGCAAGTACAGGTGTGTTTTATAATGGAAAAATCTGAGGACGTCGTCTAGTGCCTAATTAAATCAATAAATTGAAGTAAAGTAATTCGTATGCGTTAGTTTCTAATTTTATAGATTGCATTACAATGCCACAAAATGAATATATGGAACGACACCGGAAGCTGTATGGCCGACGGTTGGATTACGAAGAACGTAAGAGAAAAAAGGAGGCTCGTTTACCTAAAGAGCGTGCAAGAAAAGCAAGAAAATTGAGAGGCATCAAAGCAAAAATATTTAATAAAGAACGCCGGAATGAAAAAATACAAATTAAGAAAAAAATTCAATCTCACCAAGAGAAAAAAGTTACTAAACAAATTAAGGATGTGGAAGATGGAGCTATTCCTCACTACCTTATGGATAGAGGAACACAATCCAGCGCTAAAGTACTCTCAAATATGATCAAACAAAAAAGAAAGGAAAAGTGTGGCAAATGGGACGTTCCTATACCTAAAATCCGTGCTCAATCTGATATGGAAGTCTTCAAAGTTTTGAAGACGGGAAAAACGAAAAGAAAGTCATGGAAGAGAATGGTGACAAAAGTAACATTTGTTGGCGATAATTTCACTCGAAAACCACCGAAATTTGAACGATTTGTAAGACCAATGGCACTCCGTATGAAAACGGCGCATGTAACACATCCCGAATTAAAAGCAACGTTTCAATTACCGATAATTGGTGTAAAGAAAAATCCAAGCTCGCCCATGTACACATCACTTGGAGTTATCACAAAGGGTACTGTGATTGAAGTCAATATATCAGAACTAGGATTGGTGACTCAAACTGGAAAAGTGGTTTGGGGAAAGTATGCTCAAGTAACCAATAATCCCGAGAACGATGGTGTAATTAATGCTGTTCTTTTGGTATAAGACTCTGAAAGACTTCGAAATAAATAAATAATTAAAAGAAATGACGGTTGTTTTTGTTCTAAACATAGGATTATAATCTGGCGAAAAATATGGAAAATGCTTTAATTAGTGATATTTCTTCTCTTACAGGCATAAAGCACGACAATGCAGATATTTGTTAAAACCCTCACGGGGAAGACAATAACCCTTGAGGTTGAGCCATCTGACACCATCGAGAATGTCAAGGCCAAGATTCAGGACAAAGAGGGAATTCCACCTGACCAACAACGACTCATTTTTGCCGGAAAACAGTTGGAAGATGGTCGTACATTGTCTGATTATAATATTCAAAAGGAGTCTACATTGCACTTAGTGTTGCGTCTACGCGGTGGTGCCAAAAAACGCAAGAAGAAGAATTACTCTACTCCCAAGAAAATGAAACATAAGAGGAAGAAGGTCAAGCTAGCTGTCCTTAAGTACTATAAGGTATATACAACATGACCTGAAAGACAAAAATTAATATACTGGTGGAATTCTTGAGTCTTGTAGATCTTGTGCACTACGGACAGATACTTTCTAACTCAACTTGCTAATTTTATGTTTTATTCTGAACTTTTAAATTAATTTTTTATTTGTAGGTTGATGAAAATGGCAAGATTCATCGTCTACGTCGCGAATGTCCTGGAGAAAACTGCGGCGCTGGTGTATTCATGGCAGCACATGAAGACCGTCACTACTGTGGCAAATGTAATTTGACACTTGTTTTTACTACGCCAGAAGATAAGTAATCCAAATAAAATGAAATAAACTGGCAAACATTTGTTTTCATCAATTGTCCAATCAATATTCAGGCTAAAATTTGTTTTGTAGATCACATTATACATATTGATCATTTGCTGCAAGCTCGGCACTTGTCAATAATCTTGATTTAACGATGCAGAATTTTTTGGTATAGGTTAATTGTTCCTTATGTCGGCATGTCGCATCTGTTGTATATAACTTCAAATAACAAAAAATCTTTTCACAAAATCTGAAAACTGCGTTGAATAATCTTCAATAATATTGTCATCTATCTCTGTGCAAAATTTCATCGAGCTTAGTCAATTTTAGGGGTCAATGTGGTTATTTCACCTATTCCGTATGTCGTCGTCGTTGTCGACGACGTTTCTCTTTCGACATCACTTCGCATCGACATCACTTCGACACTGATTTGGTATTCTGTAACACTCATGCGACGATGTCGACTATTTATCGATAATGTCAATAAAAACAAAATTTTTGTTGCATATTTTCGGGCAAAAATGTGTTTGTATCCTTCACCGCACTGTGGCACAGGCCATTATGTCTTGGTAAATGTGTTTGCAACGACCAAAAAGAAACGAGATAGACCCATAGTTACTTTTTAGTATATAGTATGTACATAGATCAGTCGATTTATGCATGTCCCTGCATTCATGTATTATTTTAAACAAGTTACATGCCACCATTATGATCCGAACGGGATGAAATATGGAAAAAATCCATCCAATTGGGATGAAATTTTATTTCCACATAGACGAGTCCTATTGACATAGGTCAAAATCGGTTTAGATTTATATATAGATCCCATATATTTTTCTTTATTTGCACTTTATTTTGCATTAAGTATTGAATAGATTTTAGAATGATGTATCCTGTTCTTGTCCGGTCAAGTTTTTTAATAAAAAAAAAAAATGTTCAAACGCTTCAGTCGTCAACAAAAACTATGACGAAGAAATCTTCGACATCGTCGTCGTCACACATTGTTACGGAATACCAAAAATGTTTCAATAGTTATCGATAAATGTCGACAACGACATAGGGAATACCAATTTGCAAAAGACGACTCTCTTCGACGTCGTTTCGTGTCGACGACGACATACAGAATAGGGGTGAATGTTTCTTAAAAAAAAATTGTTAAGAAATTTTTGTGAATATATTTTGGAACAAATGCACTTTACAGACACCTCTCAGATCATTTTTACCATAGGTAATCTGATGCCGATTACAGCATCATACATTTTTTCGAGGGGGAATCAGTGCTTCCCGGGATATGGGTTTCCAAAATTCAAAAAAATATCCCCACTTTTTATTAAATATATTTAAGAATATCACTCCGAAACGTGTAAAATACATTATTGTTTACACTAGACAAAAAGTTACTTATAAATAACCGATCGGTAATAACTAGTACAAATTGAGTTATTCGAACAGAATTTTCTTTAAATTTCATTTTTTTTAAGTAGCCGGCCTTGGCCGCGACTTAAAACATTATCCTATGGACAGGTAGAAAATTGGGCTACGCGAGCAGAATTTTCTTTTAATTTCAATTTTTTTCTAAATAACAAACCTTCGGCCGTTTTTTTTTTATTAAGTAGACGGTCTTCTGCCGGAGCTTAAGACTTTCTCCTATGGACAGGTGGAACATTGCCAAATTAAAAATAGTTATACAGAATTGAATAAAACTAAATTCATGTTTAATAATCCCCGGCCCAGCCTATTTTTTCCAAGCCCCATTTCTCAAGAAGTATGGATTTCCTCCAATAATAGTAACATATTTATGTAATCAGGTAGAGTATACATACCTCTGCTGATCCAGAACAATCCGAGCTGGGTCCCTAAAGGAAAAATCCTTAAAGCAAACAACCATATAACATTTTTGTTTAAATTTTGGAACCCCATATTTCCGGAAGTGCGAAGTTCTCCCAAAAAAAAATTATGTGGTCAGCCCCAAAAGGACTATCTGCTGTAAAAAATTTAAACGTTTCGGAGTGGTAATCTTAAATATATTTAATAATAAAAAGGGGGGTATTTTTTTTAACTTTGGAACCCCATTAGCCTTTTCTCTCCCTTGTCGAAACCATGCGACAAGTGATTCCTTAAGTTCCACGAATTCACCTGCTTTTTTGCGTTTTACGGCACTGTCGCTGGGGTTTCCGGTGGTTTACCGTTAACGATGAGCACAAGAGTTTTTTGGGGTTTGGGGTTTTTTGGGTTTTCCTGAAGAGAAAGAGATAAACAAACCATTTTAAGTTTAGGGATTATCGAGGTTTACGAATACAAATTACGAATTATAATAGGTATTTACGAACTATCAAGGGGACCGAAATATATGGGATTTTTAGGAATTGTCACGGTTTTTTCAAGGGCATTTTGTTACGAAGAAAGGTGGGTTTACGAATTAACGAGTTTGCGAATTATCGGGATTGTACTTTATTTGTAATTTGGTTTGTTCCCCTACTGCAAGAATATACTAGATTTTACTATTTTCTTCGATATCATAAAGGAAAATTCGTTATCGTAATTATGATATTTGTATCGATGCCGCCCTTAGGAACAACAAATTTTAAGGGTTTCCTATAGTTGGCTTATGGGTGAATAATAAGCTGATTTTCGATCATTTTGGTTCAGTTTTTAGTGGTTGTACATAATGGAAGACACGGTTTTAATCTTAAATTCTTTTAATTGGATAAAAGTTTCGCGAAGCCGGCACCAGGTTTTATAATTGTAATATTTTAATAAAAAAATATTTTATATACTTTTTTAATATAACGCTGATAGAAACGCCCGATGTAAACAAAATTTGGAAACATATAAATGAGAAAATCCTTGGTGCAATTACCCTATATACTTTAATATAGATTTTTACATGAGCGTGGCCAAATTTCTCGAGTAAAAAGTTTACAAAGAGAACCACATTTTGTTTTCTTCTCTCTTAAATTAGATTCAATGTTTTACCAGTTTTGTGGGTTGAGAAACGGTTTTCGAGTAAAAAATTGCAAAACATGTAAAATGAATAGATTCTTTTAGGTTCTGGAATTTAACTATAGTGTTATTACTTTGTTCATATATATGGGCAATATTGCACATTTTTTAACATAGCTGAAGCGGAGGTTCACTCCTTAATAAATCGGGAATTACCTAAGTATATGAAAAAAAGTGAATAGTTTTGGGTTAATTGATCTGTCGTTGCAAACTGTTCATGATATTGACCTCCAAACTTTATTTTGTTGGAAGCTGTGTCTACTTTAATGTAAAAAAATATGTCAAAACAGGTTGAGGCGAACCAGTTTTTTTTTTATGTTCTCTATCGATTTGTGATTAAGCCACTCATTTCACGGCCTTCGTGTCAAAGTAAAACTAGAAGCCAACAAAATGGGGACTACGTCCCTTATGTATCATTTATCAAAATTTTAACTGCATCTGCCTTTACATGATGCTGACATTTTGAAGCTCGATTTATAGTGTTTTTTTATTTTACTTCTAGCTTTAATACGCAAACAGGATTTTCTAAAAATCGATTATAAGATTATTGTAGTCGCGAATCTGCATAATTTAATATGTATTTTGTGTATGTACCTCCTGATATGGAGTATGATTGCATGGAAGTAATTGCAGCAACATCAAATTTACCAGAACCGGCGTTTGCAAGTATACAAACAAAAAAATGAAACAAAATGAGCGCAAACGACAGCGTCTTGAGGGAGCAATTTCTCCAATCAATGTTGACGTGTCTGATCTTAATGATAGGATAATGAACTATAACCAGAAAGATCAAAATAAATATGGTCACAGTCGTATAGTATACACCGTATCGTTCTGACGTGAATTCTCCGCATAATAGAAAAGACAAACGCAAAAGAAAAATAAAAATAAAAAAAAGCAGTACTGTTATTCAAAACAACAAATAAATTTAACAAAATAAAGAGACCGTGCGACGAAGATGTTGTTGCCTCTTCAAGGCATCTAACTATGAATAAAAAACCAAAAACAATTGGCTCTCAGGGAGCTGGAAATCAAAATTATTTTCTCCCTCTTCAAGTTGTGGATCCTGATGATGTAGAAGAAGACATCGAAGATACTGTTATCGATAATCAGAGCAGTGATAAAATACCACCGATAACTATTCTGAAATGCAAAACTGAACAAGTGCATGAAATGTGCAGAATATTAAACATATCTTCGTATTCTATTCGAAAAATATCTATAGGAATTAAATTATTTCTAAATAGGAAAGAAGATATGAATTCGATGTGTCATGCACTCGATAATAATTTTAATTTGGAATATTTTTCGTATGTTCCTAAAAATGAAAAACCTTATAAGGTGATTTTATTAAACTATGATAAAATGGATCCAAACATAGTTAAAAAATATTTAATTGAAATGGGTTTAAAATGTACCGATGTTAAACTGGTGGTTAGAAAGGCGAAGGAGGGACCCCTAGAACACATAATTTATGTTGTTTACTTCCAACGGAAAACAATAACACTTAAGGAACTTCGTCAAAACCATGATTCAATAAATCGTATTAAAATCCGATGGGAATACCAGAAACCTAATAAAGGAAGACTTACCCAATGCTATAATTGTCAAATGCTAGGACACGGATCAAATCGTTGTAAAGTTAAAACGTTTTGCAGTAACTGTGCTGGAAATCATAGTAGTAGTGAATGCAAATCAACAATTTTAAAATGTGCAAATTGCAATGGAAATCATAAATCGACATCACCGGATTGCCCAAGTCGTTCTAAATATATTGAAATTAGAAAACGTTATGAAACTCGAAGTAGCAAAAGACCTATGCCACAATTTAATAACAATTCAAATTTCAACAAAGAATTCCCAAATGCTCTCAACCTTCCTGAAATTCCGTCTGTGTCTAGGTGGACTATTCCCCAAAATAATAATTGTCCTAATAAAGATTTATTTTCAATAGATGAAATGAAGAACCTCACTATAGAACTAATTTCAAGATTATCAAATTGCAAATCCAAAG